CCATACGAGGGCTCTTCCTTCAGCTGCGCACGCCCCCGCCGGCGCATTCGGCAGGCAACTTCGCCAAGGCTTGGGAGCTCACCATGCAGCAGCTGCAGGCGGTGGAAGGCACGTTCGCCCTCCAGGAACCTGCGGCGGAAAAGAAGCCTCGTGATCGGTGGGGAGACTGCTGCCCAATCGATGGCGGGGCGATCGACTCCGACTCCGACGCCGAGCTGGAGGTCGAGGTTCAGCCTGCCGCCGAGCGTGAGCAGGCAGAGAGGCGGGGCCCAGCGGCGGGCCCTTGGCCGCGGGCGCCGCGGAGCGCTGCGCGAGAGTTGGCGGCTGAGGCATCCGATGTGGGCCCTCTGGCGACGGTATTTGCAAGCAACGCAGCGGCGGCTGGCGGCGCGCAGCAGCGGCTCTAGCCCCAGCAGGGCTGCCCCCGCCGCAGGCGAGCGCCCGCTGGAGCGGGCAACTATGATCCCGAGGGAGCTGAAGGCGGCGAGCGCGGCCACCATCGACGGCCCCACCTGGGCCGACGCCAGGGCGGCGTCTGTGCAGATGCGTGATGGCGGCTACCAGGACGACCTCTTCTTCGTGCAGGGGGCGCGGTTCACTGGCGCGGCAGCCGTCTCCTCGGCGCAGGGCTGGTACAGGCTCAATGGCGCCCAGGCGGCGCTGGGCCCGCGCAAGCGCATGGGGCCGTTGCCCTGTGAGGTCTCTTCAGGCGCGGGCATCTTGACCGCCGGATTTCGCAGTGCGGAGATGATCGAGCAAGACTGGGCCGACCTCTCGCATCGCTTGCTGGCGTGCAGAGCGGCCTTCGGGAACCTGGCGATCGCAGTGGTCAGCGTCTACCCGAAGCACTCCACCACGTTTGCGGGGGCGAACGTAGAGGTGTTAGGTACTTTGCAGGAGTTCTTAGAAAGCCGGAATGAGCCCTTCATCGTTGGCGACGTCTGGAACATGGAGCCCCGGGAGCTGTCGGCACTTCGCGGCCGCGGTCGGTCGGAGGTGCAGTTGTGGAGTCAGAGCAGCCGACTTGCAAGGGCAAGAAGCACGTGTACTTCGCGTCCTAGGCCGCCATTGCCGCGCTGGGGCCCCGGGTCGAAGCCCCTCAGCCTACCGCGGCGCACCCTCGCGCGACGTTTCGCGTCACCTTCGCCAAGCTGGGCGCCCTGGCGCAGGTCTGGGTGCTGCAGTCGCCCCTGAGGTTCAACGCGACGGGGTCGGAGACGGCGGAGGCGAAATCCAGAGCGGAGGCAGCCGCGCAGATGGCGCCGCAGAAAGGCCCTCTCCTGCACGCCCAAGGCCTTCCCGAGGAAGCGGCGCGCGAGTTCTGCAGCACGGCGGAGCGGCACCTCATCGAGGTGTGCGAGATCCAGCAGGGCAGCTCGCACTCCCGTGGACGTTCCCGCGGAGTCCGCATGGCCCAGATGTGCTCGAAGGACCCGCGGCGCACTGAGACGGCCAGGGAGGTCAGCCCGATCATGCGCCACTGGACTCGCTGGACAGGCTGGCGCGCCAGCTGGCTGCGGGCGCGGTGATGCTGGCGCCGCTGGCTGGGCACCTGGCCTACGCGCGGCACTTGGAGGAGACCGCCGTCGCTCTGGTGCCGATTTTCTCCCAGCAGGGCTGCGCTGGGCTCTCTGGCGCGATCGTGCGGCTGCTGCTGGACGAAGTGAGAATGCCCGCGGGTGCTGGCAGCTTCTTCCGCGGCGCCATAGATGCTTCCGCTGCCAACCACGCCAAGTCAGACGCCCAGCTCGTGCGGCGGCGCTGGTCGGAGTTCGCGGACGACGCCCTAGCCGCTGGCGGCCGCGGAGCGCACGCTGTCAGCAAGCAGGCGAACGCTGAGCAGACTTCGGCGCTCGAGGATGATCGCCCCGATGCAGATTCCCCCCTGTGCAACTGGCCAGGCAGGCAGCCTTGGACCAGACACTGCTGGAATGGACGAAGCTCTGGGTCGACAGGAGTGCCCCCGTCGCGCCCGAGCCGAACGCAAGTCCGAGAGAGCACGCCCTTCCCTCGAGCTGGTCGGCGCGCACGGACTTGCCGGCCTTCGCAGGGTCCGAGATGATGATCGTTGCCAGGACGTCCCCCATGAAGACCGCCTTAGGCTGGGACGGCTTCCACCCGCTTCTGCTGCCGCTGCTGGGCCAGCCCTGCGTGGGCCGCGCGGCGGGGCTGCTGGCGGCTTGGGGGCGCGACTCCAGGCCCGCTGGCTTTTTCGCCGCGCTGAATGAGTTCCGTGCAAAGCCCGATGGAGGCAGGCGGCCCATAGGGCCGATGGCCATCTGGGTGCGCCCCAGGTGCCGCATTCGGCGGGGTTGCGGCGCCAGGCGGGAGGCCAAGCACGAGCCGCCAGAGATGTGGGGAAGCAACGCGGACACAACCTGCCACGGGGCGGCCAACCTCCACAACATCTACCCTGATCTTGCTCGATCGAGGAGGTTCGAGGGCGCCTCCGTCTACTTCGACATCGGCGATGCCGCGGAAGGAGCGGCTGCCGGGCGCGTCCTTGCCCGCGCGTCTGGGGAGGCGGCCAAGCGCGAGGAGACCAGCGCTCTGGAAAAGGGGCGGCGACCGCATTGCCGACCAGCGCGCCAAGCTGGGAGCTAGCCTGCACGCAGCAGCTGGTAATGACGTGCCGATGCAGGAGGGCCTAGCGACCCGAGCCAGAGATGCGGCGAGGTACGCTGCGGAGATCGAGGCCCGCCTCTACCTCGGGATCTCCCAGTGGGACTTCACCGAGGCCAGCGCCGCTGCAGGGTGCTCCCCAGGCGCGGCGGCGGCCGCTGGGCTGGCGGCGGCGGCAGCTGCCGCGGCTTCCAGCGCGCGCCGGCTTCCCCGCAGCTCGGGCGGCCCGCCATCGCGCCGCCCCGCTGCCTCCTCGCAGGCGGCGCTCGGCGAGAAGGGCGCGGTGGGCGGCTCGGGCGCGCCAATCACAGCCGCTGAAAGGCGCGAGGCGAGTGGCGTGCAGGATCCAGGCGGCCCCCGCCGGTGGAGACGGTGCCTCTGGCGGACATTCGCTCCCGCCTGTGAGACGCAACCCCTAGCAGGTGCGCGGACGCCACCGGATGCAGGGTCGCGCGCTGCACGGCGACTCCGAGGAGTTCCCGGCGCGCGCGACTTGCTACATGCACGCGCGGACTTTAAATATCGCTTGGGTGGGGCTTTGCGCGGAGCGCGAGGGGGCCGCGGCGAGGGCTCGGAAGCGCTCTGGGGCGCAGGCTCGCAACGACCTCGAGCGGGGCCTGCTGCCTGGCCCTGGCGCCAAGCAGGTCTTCGGCGCGCCGGCGGTTTTTGCGTTTGCGGCGAAGGCGCGCTGGAGCGAGCGTCGCGGCGGAGCTCGGGGGCGGGGCGAGCGCGGCAACCCCCGTGGCAGCCGCCAGCCTGGCGGAGGCCGCGCAGCCCGCCAGGAGCAGTAGGACCGCCGCCTCGGTCGTGACCGCGGGCGCCAGCGCGCCTGGGCCCTCATCCTGCCGCCCGCCGCCGCGGTCGCGCAGGTGCACGGGTTCGCCTTCGCCGAGGGGGCGCGGGCCAGGGGCCGGGCGGGGCGGGGGGCGAAGGCGGCGCAGCGGGCGCTTGGGCGGGGATGGCCCCCGAGGGCGGCTAGCGTGGGACATGCAGAATTGCACGAATTCACCCACGGGCCTCGCGGCCCTTGAAGAGCCAAAAAATGCTTTCACCGCAGCGGTGCGCACCCGCCCTCGGCCCTCGCGCGCGGCGGGGGTCCGCTTCGGAGGGGGCGCCCGCGCGCGGGGCGCCTCAGTGGGCGTGCGTAGCTCCTGCAAGCATTTTTGTTCGTCGTCGTCGCACTTGTCGTTCGCGCCGCCGTCGTCGCACTTTCCGATCCGGCGTTGGCCCCGAGACTGGCCCGGGCTTCGGTTTGGTCAGCCGTTTTCGGTTTGGTTTGGCCAGTTCGGGTCGCGGGCAGGTTCGGTTTCGGAGCCGTCTGGGTGTCTGAGGTGGCCCAGCACTGGTTCCGGCCAGCAGGAAAGGGCGGGCAGGTTCGAGGTTCTGGGTTCGGGAACGTGTTGTTGTTGTTGTTGTTGTTGCTTCTTCCACCTCCTGTGGCCGCCTTTGGGCCCCAGGACTGTGAAAAACTGATGCGGTGTGAAAGCGGCATCAGATGGACCTTGGGAGGGGTCCAGGGGCAGTTTTTCAGCGGATCCCGCTTCATCCCCTCAGCTGACCGATTTTCCCGGGCACCAACCAGTTCAGACTCCCTGGCCGTCTCCAATTGATGCACCTGAGAATGTTCTGAAATGTGGTTGTGGTTTGCACGATCTGTTACATGTTTGGCTGAAGCCGTTTTGTTTTGACACATCGGCTTCGTGTTCTAAGAGCATTGTGTTTAGTTAGAACATTAGTTAAGTCTGATAAGATTAGTGGTCGACCTAAAGGATTGTTAGGACGGTCGGTCCCTGCTCAAATTCGGGGGAGGTCCTGAGCGTTGCTGAAATTCGCAGGAGAGGGTGAAGGTGAGTCAGAGGAAGTCTAGGAGTAATCCCAGAGAGTTTGTGGAGGGGCCGCCTAATTGCTACTTTGCCGCTTCGGCATCTAAGCATTGCTCTTTCGAGGGGATTCCGATGGGAATCCGAAAGTTTCAGGGTTGGCTGGCTGAATCAAGTGTTTCTCACTTGTCCATCTTAGCCCAAACTCTCGCAATGACGGCTGTATCCGGCAGAAGGAACATACGGACACATAAACATTGTTGTTAGGTCTACTCGCTAGAAAGCATATTATGGGTCTTCCCCCAGGGATAAAGTGCCCAACTCATGCCATGTGTCTGCATCCACTTAGCCTCCCCTACCATATGTGGTGCCGATTGTATCTATCGATCACGCGTTGGGTTCTGTCTTAAGAGCCACCTTGTCGCCACTGCGACCGCTTGCATATGAGATCAGCAGCTCCACCACCATCTTTGTTGTACTCATCGTCCGTGAGCCATCTTGGCTTGACTGGGAGATCACTGAGCGAGCTCATAGGCAGGCGGCATCGCCAGCGCTGGCATGCTGCGATCGCCGATGGACGGCGTAGCGTCCTACGTCGAGTTCAGCCTGCAGCGCTGCAGTGAGGTGGACGAAGGCGACGAAGCTTGCAGCACTTTACGAATCTGGCAGGCAGCAGAAGATGGTATCGGGTTCCAAGTGTGGTCGGCGGCACTGGCGCTTGCCCGGTATCTCGAAGCCAGCAGGAGTTTGGCCAGCCTCCGCGTGTTGGAGTTGGGTTGTGGGCCTGGACTCCTTGGCATTGCTTGCGCGCACCTTGGTGCTAGCGTCACCCTCACAGACAAAGAGTGCGTGCTACCTCTCACTCGCAAGAATGTCGACTGCAACCCAGTGCCGCCCGGACGGACCATTGGCGCTGTGCAGGTCAGAGAGTTGGCTTGGGGCAGCGACGTACAGGAGCCATGGTGCGGATGTTTCGACCTCGTGCTGGGGTCGGACCTCACATACTTCGAGCACCTGCTCGAGCCGCTTCTTGTCTCAGTGCTGCAGGTTGCCACTGAAGGTACGGAAGTGCTGTTGGCCCATGCGCACCGACACGCATCTGAATCGAAGAAGGAAAAACTGCATAGTCACAAATTTTCGGAGGTCCGTGCGGATTTCTCGGATCGGCGCTCGGCCTCCCCTGGCGGCGCCTCTGGCGCCGCCCCTGGCGCGCTCCGCGCGCCAGCAAGGGGGTTTCAGCGCCGGTCCGAGAAATCCGCGCGGAGCCCCGACAGTTTGCGTTTGTACCGTCTTTGGTTCCTCTTCTGAAGTAAGATGGCAGGATCTGTTCGGTGATCATTTCGACATCCGGCTGGTTGAGCGGCGGGAGCCCGGCTTCGAGATGGCGAGGCGGATGCGCATTGGTGGTCACGTCGATTCGGAGCCCTATGGGGCAGCCCAGGAGTCCGTGCCCGTCTCGATATCCTGGGGGCTTCCGCCGTCCCGCGGGGAACAAATCATGGCATGAACACCGCGCCGATCTAAGGAATCCGCACAGGCCTCCGAAAGCTTACGTATTATGCCGTTGTTTCTTCCTCGACTGTCCGGTCTTGCCTCCCTGCCCTCCCGCTCCCCACGCCCTCGCTGCGCGGGTCGGAGGCGGTGCGTTCTCTTGAGTTCCCTGAGTCCCGCCGTCGCGCCAGCCCCAAAGGCTGGCGAATTCGCCCCGATCGGTTCCTTGTTTCAAGATGCCGGGGAACCATTTTCAGGGGCAACGATAGGGGGGATAGGCATAGGGGGGGCGCATCGACCCCCAATCGTCCAATGATCGCCTATATGGGTCTGCTAGCCCCACCCCTCCTATGAAGGTGCGGATTTGCTATCGGGGGTCTATCGCCGATCAATCGGCGATGTATTTCCGATTCCAGGTCGATGTTTCACTCTATGCCAGTCCCCCCCCCCTGTCCGTGCCCCTCACACTGATCTGTTGCAGCGGCTTTCTACCAAGCCGCGGTCGAAGGCAACCGAGGGGCGCTGCGGAGCCTAATTGGGCACAGGCGGGAGCGGGACGAACGCGGTCGGGGGGGGGGCGAGGAAACTGCGGGCGGCGGAGCACGCTCAGAGCATGCAGTCCTTGAGCGTGTGTGCCAGAGCACGGGCCTGCGAGGCAATAAGAGGGCGTCGCAGGCGGCCAGGGACATGGGCTGAAAGCTGATCCCAGGGAGCCAGGACACCAGAACCGAGGAGGGGAAGCATGCTGAGGGGCACAGCCAGCCATCTCAGCCGCTTGGTTACCCGCGTCAGCCATGAGTTGGTGGATTTCAGCTCAGACTTAAAGACGCGACTGCGAGCCGCGAGCAGCTGGCCAGGCTGTTGCGGGCCCAGCGTGCGCAGGATGCAGACAGCCTTCTGAGACGCATTAGGGGAACCAGGAACTGTGCCTCCTCCAGCCTCTTCCGGCACATGCTCTCTCCTCTTTCCGCACCCACCCGCCTCCCGCTCTCCTCCCTCTGCCCCGTCTCCCCTCCCCTCTCCTCTCACTATCGCTTAACCGACCCCTGTCCCCATTCCCATCCCCATCCCTATCCAGACCCCCACCATCTCAGCGCCCCAGTTGGGGATATGCCCCGCGAAACCCGAGGGCAACGGCCTATATCCCTATATCGGGGGGTACATCGGCCAGTGGGGCCCAGGCCACGCCGTTGAGCCCCCGAGTGACGTGGTGGCCTCTCGGCATAGCCTTGGGGGCAGCCCCAGGTGCTTTCGGCCCTCTCTCGAGGGGAGGCCCTTGGGGCCTCGCGACCTCCGCGCGTGCTAACTGTGCTAACCCTAAGCCCCCCACGGCTTGGGGGGTAGCCCTGGGTGCTTTCAGCCCTCTCTCGAAGGGAAGCCCTCAGGGCCGCGCGGTGTCCGCGCGCGCTAACCCTAAGGCCCCCCACGGAGAACGTTATCCTTCATTCTTCCCTTGGAAAAGCAAACAATGACATACATCGAAAAGCTCTGAGGTTCGCGCGGATTCCTCGGATCGACGCTGGACCCCCCCTCTGGCGCGCGGGGCGCGCCAGAGGCGCCGCCAAGGGGTGGGCCCAACGCCGATCCACGAATTCCGTGCGAAGCTCCAAAAGTTTGTGCTTATGCAATTGTTTCTTACCGACACCCTGTCTTGCCCCTCCCGCTCCTCGCACCCTCGCTCCGCGGGTCTGAGGGGGTGCCTTCTCTTGAGTTCCCCAGCGTCGATCAGATGGAGCGCGACTTGGAGCTGATGCAGCACGACGAGGAGGGCATGGACTAGTTCGGCAGCAAATCCTGGGAGCCTTGTGTACCCTCGCAACTCCGTCTTTAGAGTGCACTAGCGTCCACTAGTTAGCGTCTGGCAGTCGATAAGACGGCGCCGATGTTGCGTCGGTTGGCGTCGATTTAGCGTCGACCAGTTTCGGTTCGCAAGATCCAACAAGATGGTATGGGAGGCTCCCACAAGTTGCCACAGTAGACAAGAGGCTGGCAGCGAAACGGGGCCTCTCAGGAGCGAGGCGTCGTGGACGGGGCTCAGCGTCGCTCGGATGGAGCGCGACATGGAGCTGATACAGCACGATTAGGAGGGCGTGGATCATGGGATCCTTGTGCACCCTCGTAGCTCCAAGAACATAAATTGCCCCAATGCGACCCTACCTAGAAGTTGGAGCTCGTAGGGAAGCAGCATTAGTTGCTATGCTATGCTATGCCATGTTACGCTGCGCTATGATGTGCTATGCTATGTTATGATATGCTATGCTATGCTGCGCTATACTATGCTATGCTATGCTATGCTAAGCTATGCTATGTCATGCTGCGCTGTGCTACGCTAATACACGATATGCTATGTTATACTATAATATGCTGCGCTATGTTATGCGATGTTATGATATGCTATGCTGCGCCATGCTATGATTGGCTATGTTATGCTATGCTGTGTTATGCTAATGCAGCGCTGCGCTATGCTATGCAGCGCTGCGCTATGCTAATGCAGCGCTGCGCTATGCAGAGCCTAGGTAGGGAATTACACCACACGCATGGGACACGGCTTTGCTACGCTATGCTATGCCATGCTATGCTATGCTCTGCGATGCTATGCTATGCTGTGCTGTGCTGCGCTGTGCTATGCTGTGCTGTATTGTGCTGCGCTATGCTATGCTATGCTATGCTGCGCTATGCTATGCTATGCTGGGCTATGCTATGATATGCTGTGTTGCGTTATGCTATGCTACGCTATGCTATGCTGTGCTCTGCTATGCTAAAGCTCAGCGAACCTAAGATGAAGGTAAGGTAAGCTAAGATAAACCTAAGTTAAGATGAGGCTAAGATAAGCTAATATGAAATAAGCTAAGCTAAGATTAGATAAGCAACGCTAAGATAAGGGGACGTAACTGGGGGAACCGCGGGGCGGATACTGGGGGAACCGCCCGGGGCGGTGTGCACTGCCCGGCCCCTTGAAGAAAGAGAGTAAGAACCCTCTAGGCAGAGCTTAGGTAGGGAATTTTAAGCGATCCGCGCGGATTTCTTGGACCTGCGCTGGAACCGCCTGGCGGCGCTGGTGCGAGGCTCTGCGCGAGTCCAAGATATCGGCGCGGATAAGCTCGAGTTTGGTTGCGACGAGTTGGGTGTGGGACTAGAGGCCGACAGCAAAGAGCAGGGCCGCCACGGCCTCCTGGTGGTGGCGCGGGCGAAGTGCGGGCGCCGCGAGTCTCGTCCTCCTCCTCCTCCTCCTCCTCGTCCTCCTCCCTCCTTCTCCTCCTCCTCCTGCTCCTCCCTCCTCCTCCTCCTCATCCTCCTCCTCCTGCTCCTCCTCCTCCTACTCCTACTCCTACTCCTACTCCTACTCCTACTCTTACTCTTACTCCTCCTCCTCCTCCTCCTCCTCCTCCTCCTCCTCCTCCTGACGGTCGCTCCATCTACGTCATAGTATGATGCTTGCCGCCTTTATGTGTTGCTTCGTTGGTTGGCACGGGGCTTGCACGTGCTAGCCGACGAGGCACGCCAGATTCGCTTGAACACCAAACTCGAACGGTTGGTCTCCTATAGTTCGTCCTGTCTTCTAGGTTCCAAAACGGTTTCCTGGGAACCTGAATATGCCTGCCTTTTGGCTGCCGTTTGCGGCTCAAGGGTGGCCACCCATTGTGCCCGGTTGAATTTCGTTTTAACCCGCGTTGGACACACTTACTCGCAAGCAAAACATTCATTTCTTTTTCATCGACCCTGTCAAGCTTGAGTTGCCCACCGGCGCGAAAACTGGATGGGTGGCAAGGGGGAAGGGCGCGCCTGTAAACTTTGGCGGGGGCTCAAGCTAAAAAAGGGGGGGCACGGACGAGGGACCAAGTCAAAAGGGGGGGCACGGACGAGGGACACCGACGGACGGGGCCTCCTCCTCCTCCTCCTCCTCCTCCTCCTCCTCCTCCTCCTCTTCTTTTTTTTCCTCTTGCGCCTTCCGGCGGCGAGCCCAAGGTGGAAGTGAGATGGGGCGGGTCTTTTTCGAAGTTTCGGGAGCCCCCTGGCCTTCGGAAGAGATTTCTAAGCCTCCCCCGAAGGCGCAGAAAATTTCCCAGAAGGCCAGAGGGTTTCTGAGAAGCTTTGCCGCCTTCTGACAAGGCCTTTTCTTTTTCACTTCCCCCTTCAATCGCCGCCGAGCTTTGCCCTACTGCTGCCTCCTGCGCCGCCGCCAGGCTCGAAGGCAAGCCGCCTCCGACGTCGCGTTCCGGGCGAAGCAGGCCGAAGAACGGAAGAAAAAGATGGCGGCCCGTCCCGACTGGGGGGTGGGGGCCGCCTCCGTGGGCGGAGGTGTGGGACGGGGGCGACGCCGACGACGACGACGACGGCGACGACGGCGACGACGACGACGACGACGACGACGACGACGACGACGACGACGGCGGCGGCGGCGGCGGCGGCGGCGGCGACGACGGCGGCGACGACGACGACGACGGGGAAGTTCGAGGTTCGAGGCTCCCGGGCGTCGTCGTCGGTTCTCGGCGGTTTTCTGGCCTCGGGATGCGCTCCAGCAGTTGCGCCTTGACGGGAATGGTCAGGGAGTGCCCAGATCGTCCCGAAAGGCTACCAGGGAGTCGAGTCATGACCAGAAAAAACACAGGCGTCCGAGGTGGAGGAAGGGGTGGGGAGGAATTTGTCCGGTCATCATCGCCATGGACATCGACATCGACATCGTCATCGGAGGAAAAAGATGGCGGCCGCCGGCGGCTGGGTGGACGGGCGGCCCTCCCAGGGAGTGGGGGGGGAAGTGAAACGGGGTTGGCCTTCCCAGAAGGCTTGGAAGGCCTCTGGCCTTCCGAGAATTTTTCTGAGCCTTCCTGGAGGCGCGAGGGTTTCTGAGAAACCCCGAAGCCTTCTGGGAAGGCCTGCTCTCTCGCACTTCCCCCCCCGGCGTGCGCCGCCGAGGACGGGGAGGGGGGGCGTTGGACGGGTGAACTGGGGTCCGGAGCGAAAGAAGGACGTACACGTACATGAATCCACGCTGGTTTCGAGAGTACGCATTGCCCG